AGTATGCTTGAAATTGTATAATAGATGTTTGTTGATTTAAAGATGAATAGATTAATACAGCTGAAGTGTCACTTGATGTGTAACCACTAAGAGCAGTTCAATTGTCAGTTGAATAGTAAAAGATGAAAGCAGTTGAAATGTCAGCTTCTGTTATTTCTGTTTAATTCCTATTTTGTGGGATATTTTGTGGTTTGTGTTTGATCATAACTCATGGTTATTACCAACCATTCCTTCTTAAATAGGTTACATTTTTTGTCAGACTTTTATCTGTTCTATAAAGCCGTGTCAATATAATTTAACTTTTAAAGAGTAGTTGTTCCTTAATGCTCAGTAGTCCAGTATCTATCTAACACAACATGAAGAGTAAGATCTCCCTTGCTTTAAACAAAGATTTACAAGTTGTTATCACTTCATTTTTGAACTTCTGACATATTTTAACATGGCTAAATGTAATTTTACACAGTAGTAGTGGTGTAGTGGTGACTAATAATTTCTTCTCTGTGTGAGATGAAATCTATGTGTTTGCCAGTTTACATGTTGGGTACAGTCACCAATCTTATCAGATCTTAAAATATGAGTAAAATAAGTATTTTAGGGAGTGTTCTCACCGTACCCGAAATACATGTCAAACTCAGAAACTCGTGTTTGCTTTTTATGCTGTGAGTATTTACAAAGGTTTACACAGGAAATCGACTTTCCATCCAATAAAAAAAACAAAGCCATGCAGTCATGGTGTGACAGTATTTCAGAGGGAGGCACCATAATGCATCGACAGACTGGGCTGTTGTTTTTTTAATTATTATTATTTATTTTTCTGGAGGTTGGGCTTTGAAAGCTCAGACACTTATTTACGAGGATAGTCACACAGCCCGAGCATTAATGGTGAACAGAATGTAATTTTGGAAAGCTGTATCCCCTCGGTTAGGGAAGAGCAGCCCAGTAAGTTTCAAGAGGCTAGACACGTTTGAAGCTGTGTTTTGCATTGTGTTACAGCTGACGCATAACGGACTCGGAGCTGATAAATATGCAAAAAGTAAAGGGGCATAGGTTGACAGGCTGTTGAGTCTTTGGCAGTGTCCGCTTTTGCCATTGCCATGTTGCTTTTCAAGCTGTTGAGTCTGCAGTAGGCCCATCTGTGCCGTTCCTTCTTAGAAACCATCAGTAGCAACGTTTGTCCATTTCTTAAATCCTCCGCCCTGAATAAGAAATGAAGTTAATGACCAGATGGGATGAAACACTGGGAGCGAGGGGGCAGTCTTTTGCATATTAAAAACTAAAACCAGTAATTAGTAAATCGGTTAATTTGTAAGTCAAACACAGGGTCTTTTGTAAATGTATGACAACTGGTTTCCAAGGTTTCATAAGGTTGAGCTCTTCTTGCACTCTTTTAGATGTGACATTGAGTCTGCACCTTGTTGCAGACAGGAAGTGGTTTGGGTCTTTCATCTGGGCCAGCAAATACCACACCACGATCAGTCATATTTTCCATGACGAGCAAAAAAAAAAGAAGACAAAACCACTTGACTGTGTTTTACATCAAAGTTTGACATTATCCCATATCATGTGCGTGATCTCTAAACTGATACACAAAGCCGCAATGTGTCATGTTTTCCATGGGCTGACATTTATAAAGGAAGGTAGTCGGCTCAATCCGGTTCAAGATCTCGCAAAAAGGGAGAAAAAGGTTGTAAAACGAGGTTTCTCATCCTGTTGAGCATTCAAAATGAAATAAAAAAGGCTTATAACATCTGTAAACTTTTCATCAGCTAAAGCCTCTCATTAGACATAAAGTCTTTGACAACAGAAAGAACAGTATGATGTCAGCTTGACAAACATTTGTCCAAATGAAACCAGCCACACAGGCAGAACTGGTTGAACTTACATAACTGCTCAGGTCCTGCTGCATCCAGTGTTTGAATGTGTGCTGTATTCAAAATCCTTCTAAAGTAAAAGTTCAGAAGTATTATCAGCTAAATCAAAAGTATCGAAAGTCAAAGAAATTCTTTCACAAGATGTCTCCCTGTGTGTAATATTGTATATGACATTTTAAGATTGTTAGAACTGATGCATCAATGTGTAAGCAGCATCATACTGTTGTAGCTGGTCGAGGTGGAGCTAGTTGTTCTCAACCTATGAGATAATTAATGGGAGAGGGAGTTTGGATACTTGTCTTTTTTGTGAAATATTGGATTTTTTTTTTTACCTCTTTGGGCTTAATCATTAACAATGGATTGTATTTTTAAACTGGTCAAATGTTTTGTGTGTAATATCTTCTGCTGAAAAGTAACTAGTAACTACATTTGTCAGATAATGTATAGTGGAGTAACACTTACAACACTTCCCTCTGAAAAGTAGCAGGATATAAGTATAAAGTAAAGTGACAATAGTCAAGGAGAATCACCTTAAAATGTAAATAAAGGGACAGTGTGTATAGGATAGGGTGGCGTCTAGCAGTGTAACCACCTGAAACCCACGCCGCTCACTCCTCCCTTTTCTATTACAGCTATAATGAGAGCCGCTGAGTACAAAAGTAGCATAAAAATGTGAAAGGCCCTCTAAAGAGCCAGTGTTTGGTTTGTCTGTTCTGGGCTACTGTACAAACATGGCGATGCAAAATGGTGGACATTGTGAAGAGGACCAGCTCCCATGTAGATATAAATGGCTCAATCGAAGCTAACGAAAAACACAATGAATATTATACTCCATTTCTGCTAATAGACACCCAAAAAAATACTACACACTAGTCCTTTAAGTGCATTACGTGAGTGAATGTGATTACTTTCCACCACTGTATAAAGGATCCCTAAATTTATCGAAAAATCTAAAATTATCAAATTTGGAGATAGATAGTTTTCATTGGACAGTAGATTAAATATCACAAAACACACACACACACACACACACACACACACACACACGCACACACACACTCACAAAATGACCAGTATATTAACAACACTTAAAAAACAAACAAACGCCAAACTTTTGGGTCTCCTCTGAAAGCATTGGGTTCCTGATCATTTACCCTTTATCACAAGTGAAACAGGAGTAGCTGGGAATCCAATCTGAATAGGCTTTGATCAGCTGTGTCCATGTATAAATAACAGTACAGAGGGCTAATAATAGAGGCAATAATACATGCCCTGCATTGTTTCAGTTTGCCAAAGAGGATAAATAGAGAGCTCAGATTATATTTGGGGTTTGAAGCCAGCAAGACCCTTTCACCGCAACATGGGTCCTGCTGTCATATGGGACTGTACAGCCAGCCAACTTGGCACTTGCTTAATGGCTCTCCTGCCAAAGACACCGGCTACAGTACTTATTACTACCAATAATGTTACCTCCCTACCTCACACACAGGTCACTTTTGTTGTCTTACACAAGCCAGAACTTCATTTTGAAGTTTTTGTTCTTTCATTATTTTACAATACAGTTACAGTCACAGCAGGTTGGTCACTTTACTCTTTCAAAGCGCCATTATGTGTCTCTTAGAGCGTTACAAAGAAAGGTCAATTGGTGTTTTGGAATTATATGAGGAAATGAAGCAACAAACTTGCAGCCTGCCAGACGTGTGTGACTCACAGCTGCCTGAAGTGTCTAACATCCTTAAAGTTGTGTTATTTTAACCAGGAATAGGGTGCTGCAGGAATGACGTATTTTTGGAGGCCAACCCTGGAAGTTATCATCACACTGGTACCCTCAACAAAAAGCTAATGTCTGCTGACATATTCTATATCGTAGAGCAAAACATTACAATTTCTTAAACTTGTGTTAACCATAGACAGTATCTCAGGCATCTAACAAAAAAGGTGTTTCAGGAAACCAGTTGACTTCGAGACAAAGGAGCCAGAAGTGCAGACATAACTCGTTTCAACACTCTTTATAGTTTCCCTCAGCTTGGTTAACTGGTTTTGTTAGGAATAACAACAAAAACTGGTATTGTCAGGTGTGTGTCATGGTTTTATCACACAGGTTTGAGTAACATTTAAGTTATATTCAATGTAAACTATACCAAATGTATGGGAAAGTACGAGTGTGTAAGTACGCAGACACATTATTCACAAAGTAAAACCTTCCCAAAATAGATGCATGTAATCTATATCCAGATCCTGTGTGTACACTTTTCGCAAATGATTGAAGTGTAACTGTAACCTGAGGAAAACTAGAAATACAAAGATCCAGAAAAGCAATATGAGAAGTGCAGCCGAAGGACTTTGAAAATGTAGAAGCAGTTTGTTTGTTTATAAAGGTGCAGATGTCGTCTAGCAAGCTCAGCAGGCTTTCAGATGATTCATTTGAAAAAATCTGACCAGAAGGATGAGTGAGTAAATATACATCAAAGGACAAAGACCATTGAGATATTTCAATTTAAAGACACACATCTTTATGGACCTATTGAAAACAGGTGTGTTGGATTTTTAAAAATGAAATACAATTTAGTTTATATTACAGCGATCCAGTTCAATGCAGGACCCTGTTAATCCTGTGCTTTTCTTACTGTGACATGTCAAAATGTCTTCAGTGTCATGTGATGTATGTCTTTAAACACTGACGCATCATTGAACACATAATTTACATGTCTGATTTGCTTTTACTTTAATTCCATCTGCCACTGCTGCGCACAGCTATTATATTATGCTGTTATATTCTTACAATAGAGCTCCATTTAGCTGTACGTTAATAAGAGTTTCGAGCAGCACGTGAAGGCACCGTGTCTTCCTCCTCGAGCCTCCTGGAGAGACTTTTGATTGGCTGCCAGTGACATCATCCCTGCTCGTTCGTGGGACTGAAGGCAGTTCAAGCGACATCCCCCTCCTCCCCTCCTCTCCTCCTCTCCTCCTCCCCTCCTCCCCTCCTCTCCTCCTCCCCTCCTCTCCTCCTCTCCCCACCCAGCCACAGAGGCAGACATCTCGGCCAAATCCCTCCCACCACAGGGCCGGACCTCACTGTAAAAAAAAGGATCAGATTTAATATTAATGAAGCCGCGCATTGGCTCACACTCGCGTCAATCCCGCTGCGCAACTTCTGTAGGCTGGCAGACTCCCTTCAATATTATTTCTGGGGAGCAGGGTAAAAGTGCTAAAAAAAAATGTTGCCGATCCACAACACTGGGACGGACTGAATGGAGGCAACGTTGTCACCGAGCGGAGATAATAAATCCGTCTACAGTGCACCGCGACACACACCGGTAAGCTGAAATACAAGTCAAGTTCGGAAATTAGTGTCCAAGGTACAAGTTGTTTTTGAAATGCACAGTCATAGATATTTCCTTCTATTATTAATGAACAGGAATACCAAATTACTGCTACCATTTTCAGCTGATTATCAGTTTATTTGGTAATATAGGTGGGCTATATTATTTTTTTTAATGACATGAATTAAGTGTTTTATTACAGCTGTTTCCTTTATGATATCCCTCCATTGCGTCAAAGTTACAATCCCCACCTTAAAATGCAACCATCGGATTTTATTTTGTGTAAACATTTATTTATTTATTTTATACAGCGCTGTGAAATTGAATTTCCACCAGTGTTCAGCTCATCGGATCAGTTCGTCTCGTCCCGAAAGCCTGATCACATTCTCGGCACGTTCTCATGCCGGTTTCTTCAATGAATTTGGCCATGAATGATATCTGCTGTGGCTGAACCTGCACCGTACTGAAAGGACGGCAATGGCCGGGACAGGCAGTGCTCGGCGGGTGTCTTTACATAATATGCCGGGATGACATGGTTTTTAAAATGCTCAGGCTGGCGATCAAAAGGAATTGCCTCCCCTCTTTTTTTTACTCTTTTCCAGTTGGGGGAGAGACCCAACTGCGGCGTAGCTTTGATGCAGTATTTTATCTTTTTCTCTTTTTTTTCTCTCTTGTTAGAAAAGCTTTGGATCACACAGACCAGAGTTGGGATGAAAAATTCAACATCACACACGCAGGCACACACGCACACACACACACACACACACACACACACACACACACACACACACACACACACACACACACACACACACACACAGAGTACAGTATCTGGAGGATGATTCACATTACTTACACTCAAAGTGATTCAGTTACACCAGACTCTGTAATGGTTTCACTGTTTATTATTAGTGGCCAGTCTGTCAGGCCTACATTTTCCCACCAAGTTGGGTGTTGCCCTGAAGGTATTGACACTACTAATATTTGACTTCAACAGCCGTTTTCTAGTTTTGCATGTTGATCAAACAGACAGGAGGCCGCTCTCTGTTTACTCCGCTCCTTCATTCACAGCTCTGATCTGCATCAGTATAGATGCAGAATTCATTGAGCCAAACTGGTTTTCTCAAAGATTTCCTTCCTCGCCTCAAATTTTGTGTCATCTCTGTGCCCACAGAGCGGCTTGTTGACTTCTCCGTAACCGTCCAGCCCTCGGCGTCCCCATGCCTCCGTCTCCTCTTGACGACAGAATTGTGGTGGCGCTGCCAAGGCCGATCCGACCTCAGGAACTCCAACTGCGCCTGGACACCAGCTACCTGGACTCCATCGCCACCAGCACCAGCGACAAGACAGTCATCAGCACCACCGTGGTGAAGATCCGGACGACGGCCAATCTTGTAACGTATATGCCCTCATCCAAGGGCTCCACGCGCTCGTTGTCGTGTGGATGCAGCAGTGCCAGCTGCTGCTCAGTGACTACCTATGAGAAGGACAACCAGAGCATCAATCACAGCCAGGTGAGTGCCAGCAGCCCCAACCTCAGCTATGCCGGGCCCCCCACCCCTATGGTCAGCAACCATGAAGCATTAAGCGCCCCCAGTCTCGCCCCGGGCACGCCGAAGGCCCTGTCATGCGTGAGGGTCATCCACCCCAATGAGCTGGCCAAACGGATGACCTGCTGCCCCATGGGACACCCCGTGGGGCCCGTGCCAGTCATCATCGACTGCCGGCCCTTCATGGAGTACAACAAGAGACACATCCGGGGGGCCGTGCACATCAACTGCTCCGACAAAATCAGCCGGCGGCGGCTGCAGCAGGGCAAGATCACTGTGCTGGACCTCATCTCCTGCCGCGAGGGCAAGGACTCTTACAAGGGCATCTTCTCCAAAGAGATTGTGGTTTACGATGAGAGCACCATGGACCCCAACCGGCTGACGTTCTCCCAGCCGCTGCATGTGGTCCTGGAGTCACTGAGGAGGGAGGGCAAGGACCCCATCATCCTCAAAGGTAACACCTAAGTGGGTTTGTCAAGACTGGGAAGGGGGGAATAAATAAGGCTGTCTAGCATACTAAGGGGAGAGAAACCACAGTTGTATGGGCTTAAGTTTGACTCTGGAGGAAGTAAATCAGTTGAGACATCTGAAAGGAAAGTCAGATTTAGAAGTGGTAGATGCTTTAGGGGCAATATAAACTGATATGAAACTAATGTGGTGGCAAAATAATGCGTGGTGTGTGTAAAGCCTGTAAAACCTTGACTTTTATTGTTGTGGTCACCTGATAGCGCCTGTACACACACTGGTTGTAGGTTTATCATGTGAGCTTTGTTCTGAGACATTACAGCAGTTACCACAACAGCTTTTGCACGTATAATCAAGCCCATGCACACTCAATGTAAATCCCTCATACATAAACATATGCACAAGCTCTTCACCAGCTTTCTATATGACACTAATTAAGCATTTTGCAGGAAGTGAGAGCAGCTGTTAGTAAATAAGGCAGCCTATTGAGATGGCAGTCCCTGGGTTGCTGCCATGTTTTCTATCTTTAGTGTGTGTTTGTGTGTGTGTGTGTGTGTGTGTGTTTGAAGCTCGAGCAGTATGTCGTGTTGGGGGCTGGGCTGAGTGTTTTCTGAATGCCTCCCAGTCAGCGTCTAGCTGTAAGATCACAGCGCCTTGATCTCTCTTCTTCTCTTCGTCCTTCTGGTCCTCCTGTGCGCTTTGATGGATGAGGCTCCTCTCCAGTCTCTCATCCCGCATCGGTGTCTGTGTGAAGCTCGTCTCAGTGGGAGGAACAGGCGGACTGTCTCGCTCTTTCTTCCCCTGGTTTGCAAAATGCAAGACCTCCTCTCTCAAATGGCTCAGCCTGCCTTTTGTTTACATCACAAGTGCTTTTGTTAGATCTGGAATGACCTCCCATGTTACATGTCTGATAATCAAATACTTCCGATGTATCGACCGATGGTTGACATTTTACCAAATCACAAAAACAAAACCAGCCCTAAGCAGAACATTTGCAAAGCTGGAATGAACACTTCTAATACTCTTTTATTTATTTCTAAATGGAGAGGTGATTAATTCTTCATTTCTCGTAAAATATACGAGAATTATCAAGGGAAAGTGGGCAGGGCATTGTTATTACAAGCAGTAGTAATAGCGACATATTTGGAACATGCTTGTATAAATGCAACTAAATAATTTACTCCATTATTTGCTTAGTTCCCAGCATGTCTCAGTCATAATTCATCGCAATACGTTTGTTGCGTGATACTCTGCTACACTGGAAACACAAAACCTTCCGTTCCTGCCCCGCTGGAGCCAAGAGCAGTAACAGGTTACATTTAATCCGTCAGAATTGACATAAACGACATGTCAGCAGGGTTAGAAAGGGTTAGGGTAAGCACTAAAAACAGCAGGTCTGTGGTGTGAGAGGCCTTTACGAGGCAGAGGCGGTAATTTCTAAGCAGGAACTGAGCCTGTGGTTTATGAAAGTGATCAGTTTTCATGTTTTCCTCTTTCAGTTTAGTCAGATGATAATGACAGTCACACTCGACAGGTTTCATCTCACAGCAAAGTGCTGCCCCTGGAGATTCTATTATCAGTTTACTATGAAAAGTAGTTTATCAGCCGAGTTCGACCTGAAAAGAAAGTCTGACAGTTTGAAAAGAGGAAGTTCACTGTTTGTTGATACAAGCCAAGCGATGTTGGCTTTCAAATGTCACAGCAGCAGCAGCAAACTAAGTTTTTCCATTGTTTGGAGGTTAGTTGAGCTCATTGGTTGGTTTTATGGACCACATATTTATTGTTTTTCCTGTCTCACTGCTCTTGATCAACTTCATTTTCTGTGACAAAGCTCTGATAAACACACTGCACCCCAAACAACAGAGGTAGCGACTGGCTGGTGAACGTAGGGGAGCATTTAGCAGCTAAAGAGCCAGTTGTTTCTAGCAGGAGTTGGTTGAGACCAAAACAGAGCTAAAAGAGAGTGAATATTGGACTTACGTTCTTCTTCAAATTAATACTAATGTTATTATGTTTCTGCTAAAATGTTTGCCAACACAACAACACATTTATAAGGTGATAATATGGAAATATTTCCGCACGAAAGTGCCCAAAAAAATCAATTACTATTGTCTTAAGATTTTATTTATTTAACCAATAAGATGAAGGAAAATAAAGTCTGTTAAAATCTAGTTGTCAGAAATTCTGATCTTGTAATATATTTACATTCTGAACAAACTTTATGTGTGACAAAGATATTGTGTTGTAAGAAAGGTTTTATGAGACATTGTGGGGTTTTTAAATACCGATAAAGTAGTCTTCATTAATACAGCTTTGCGTTAAGAAACACTATCAGTGGAAATTCCACCTATTCTTATCTATTCCCCAAATTCTTGTTGACTTTGTAAAGACTTCCCTTTCTTATATTTACCAGTGTAAGTATTACCACAACCTCCCATGACAGCGAGAGCTGTTCCACTATCAGCACAACATCAGGTTAATGTCTTTGTTCATGGTTAAACAATCGGGCTGTTTTATGGTGATCCCACCTGCCCGGTCACCAGGGGGGAAGTTGTGCGATGACCTCACATGGCATGATGTCAACTCTTGCAACGTGAACAATACATGAACTGATACTGTGTTTGTCTGACACTTTCCACCCCTCCCCACAACTCTTGTGCTGAAGGGAAAATTTGGCCCATGGCATGACTAGCAACAGGTGCAAACCATTTATTTGCAGAAGTGCAGATGTCCAGTGAGAAGTATATTAAACATTTAGTACGTCTGTTTACTGGCAGATTAACAAGGGGAATTTCTTATGTGATTTAGCAAGTGGAGACTGTTCAAGTAGCTATTTTGGCCATTTGTATCCTTTTTGAAATGAGTTGTTGCAAATAGAAACACTGCCGATCCCTTGATATTGATTCATCATCCAAATAGAGACATTCAAATTACAACCAAATCTAACAGTGTAGTCTGGAAATTTGTAGATTTCTATCATGTTAAAGCCAGTTGTCCATGATTTTATCAGACGTGTATGCAAAGCTAACTTGTCCTATTCAGTTGTAACATGTGCCATGTGGTGCACAGAAGCACGAGTGCATGTATATTTAGCACGGAGGGCACCAGTGGGAATTGAACCCTTAACCCTGGCAAGGAGACCAACAAGGTCCAATTTGCAATCAGAAAGGGGAAAAAATGTAAATATGAAAAGGACGTTTGGCAGTTTTATTTATTTTTTAGCTAAATAATTTGACTTCCTGTTCAACCCGTCTCACAATCTCTCCCCTTGTGTTCACAGGAGGCCTTAGCTGCTTCAGGCAGAACCATGAGAACCTGTGCGAGCACTCGCTGCACCTTCACGAGGGCATGGAGACCGGTGCTACTGCTGGCCTGACCGGGCCGCTACCTCACTCCCTGCCCTCCACCCCGGACATAGAGAACGCAGAGCTGACACCGATCCTGCCCTTCCTCTATCTGGGGAACGAGCACGACGCTCAGGACATCCACCAGCTGCAGCGCTTCAACATCGGCTTCATCCTAAACGTGACCACCCACCTGCCGCTCTTCCACTACGACTTGGGCTTCTTCGTCTACAAGCGTCTTCCCGCCACAGACAGCAACAAGCAGAACCTGCGGCAGTACTTTGAGGAGGCGTTTGAATTCATCGGTATGAAAACTTCCACTGTTTTCACTGCAGACGTGTAAGCTAACACAATGGTCTTGTGACCTTTCAAGACTAGTCTACTTTAGAGCTTTCAGCAATTAAACCAAAGAATAATTGAGAGTTTAGAGTTTAATGTAAATATGTTTTGTAGGCCTGAAGCAGTGTTCTTTTGTTTCACAAGGCCACAAGGTAATACTCCAGAGTCCAGAGATCGCTGTGATGCTAAAAACTGAGTTGGTTGCCTATCTGTTACAAATTGCCTAAAAGTAATATACATTGTTGTTGTGTATGTTTCTCTGTCTGTGAATTGCAAAAGGGTGCTTCCAGGGTGCTTTTGGCCAATACATGCTGGCAGTCTGCTGTGATACTGAATAGAAATGAGTAGGAAATGGATAGAAAATGTATGATTTATGGTATTATTTGAGATGTTTTTTATACGGTAAAATATCTGATTACAGAATTAGTGTGAAACGGAGCACTAAGTTCTCAATACTCTACATTGTACAGATACATTTCAGTACTGAAGTTCAATAACCAGACCTAGACAGACGGCTGGTCACAAAGGAAGTTCTAATATCTTATGTGTGATGACTAAACTTCCCCCGAGGGAACAAACCATTTACTACATTATGTTCTAATTGTTTCAATGTTGCTCTCTGCAGAGGAAGCACATCAAGCAGGTATGGGCCTTCTGATCCACTGCCAGGCAGGCGTGTCTCGTTCAGCCACCATCGTGATAGCCTATCTGATGAAGCACACCTGGATGACCATGACAGACGCCTACAAGTTTGTCAAAACCAGGAGGCCCATCATCTCCCCGAACCTCAACTTCATGGGCCAGCTGTTGGAGTTCGAGGAGGACCTCAACAACGGAATAACGCCACGAATCCTCACACCAAAGCTGATCGGTGTGGAAACTGTTGTCTAAACGAACCCTCTGGACTCGACGCTCGCACTTGTACTCACTCTCAACTGTTCTCTCAATAGAGATCGGCTGCTCTATGAGCTGGGTTGGACTATGAGAGCCACTGTATTCTTCTTGAATCTCCTCATGCTCATCTTGGACTCTCTGGAGTGCCAACGCTCTGGGTCAGTGGTGATGAGAAATGCCAAAAATCCCTACTGTTTGGACCTGGCCCAAGTCCAGGAGAAAACGGTCGGCGGGAAGCTTTCCATTTGTGATTGAGAGGAGCAAACATGAGGGAAAAGCAAATTGGTTTGGAAAAAGATATTATATGTGCTTAGGGGCAATTACTGACAAGAGAAACTCTTAAAGCTCACACTGTGGCACACAGCTTCTGTTTGCAGACTCAGGCGGGTTGGCCACGGCAGTGCCTGTCAAAAAAAAAAAGAAAAGATAAACAAAAAAGATGAAGACTTGTTTGGTGTGTTAATGTTGTTGTTCTATTTTTATACAGGGGTTTATGGGGGTGACCATGACGAGCCCACAGTGGCTTACTGTGCAATAATTTCAGAGTGGAATGCAACTGAGACCTTGATCTTATATGTATATAATGATAATGATGTAATGATTACGAAACATTTCCAGCTCTTTGCTGAAGTACCATTTTAATGTTAATGTAATTACTGTTGTTCAGTTCTATATGTTCACAGTTATGCTGTAATATTCGACGTGTGCAAGAGAAAAGAAATGGGGTTTTATTTTTGAGTGCAGCTTGTGGGTTTATGTAAGTCATCAGAACCACAAATTCATATTTCGTGTGTTTGCTCCAGTATCTTCGTTTTCCCATTCCTGCATCCACATATGCATATATTTTTTAGCAATACACAGTATATATTACCAGACAGCCATAAGAGCTTTTTTTATGCATGGCTGCTGGCAGAGGAAAGAATACTTTAAAATAATCAGTGAATATTGTAAAACAGGGCTACTGGTGATGTTTAATGTAACAGAACGGAGGAATTTCACTGCCTGCTTCTGTCGTCTACCCTGTTCTTTTTGCTCCCAGCTCTGTTGAATCGAACGCGACTGAGTCCCTATGTAGCAACATTTTTGTTTGTGCCAAAGCCCAACATTTTGAGCTATGGTTTAGTCCACATTAAGGTAGCAGAGTTGAGGTACAGACTTCAAACAAACATTGACTTTCTGCCGTGGGTTGCAGTGCAGTGGGACAGTGGTGGTACAGTAGAGCAGCGTGACCCTTCTCTAATCTTTTGCAACTCTCTGTCGCTGACACTAAGCTACAGTTAAGTGAGCTCTTCTGCCTTGCTTAGGCGAGCGCTGCTGTCACGTGCTGTTCTAGTGCCTCTATCAATGCCTTAATTCATGTGTCACCACTGGGCCTGCGCATGGTACACCATCACGTGCAGACAGATGCAGAACACACCGAAGTCGGATTTTAACTCCCAGACAAATGCAGCTCTTGGTCTCTGTGTGACATACGGATTTCTTTCTGCTGTTCTTGATTAATATGCAGAGTTTGAGAAAATAGCATTCAAAGCCTTGAGGTTAAAATGCTCATTATGTAACTCTGATCTCGTGGTGGCATTTTAAGGGGAATTTGAATACCAATGTGAATTGTAAATCTACTCCGCACTAAATAGTAGTGTATTAAAGAGTATATGCAGGCTCACAAAGTTTACCTTCATCCTGTTGCACCTGACTATAATCACTGATGACTCATATTACAACATGTAGATAAATGAGAGGAGAAATTCTAAATAAATGCTCAACTTGCTAGTGCTACTTTGCCTTCATTCTGATCCGAACTGCAGATTTTTGCACTGTCGCTGAAAATAATCTAAATTTCGCATTTCAGCCCCGTCAGTTTTACACTGTCTCAGCTGGTGACAGCTTTAGTGAAAATTACAAAAAGGGAAACTTCTTACCCAGGTGGGATGCATGCGTTTTCAACTGCCTGTATATCACTAGGCACACAGTATAAAGACCTCGTCTTGTTGAGATGACTGTGTGCGTGACCATTTATCAAGTGAGCATTCAAACAGAAAAAATATTGATCTACATTTTAGAGACTTGTTTGAGTACACATCTTTGATCTGGTTTTGATTTGATAAATCCCAAGGGCTGTGAAAGTTCCCAAGATATAAAAGGAATTGTAGTCCTTCAACCGAAGAATATGAAATTCAGACCAAAACAACAGGCAGTTATGAGCTTTTTCCTGGTTTCTGTTCATATGTTCTTCTGGTTTCTGTTCAGCTCTCCATTGTTTGCAAGAAAAACAAAAGACTAAAATGAAGCACAGGGCTACTGATATCACTGTCAAAGCAACCAAAAAAAAAACATTTATATATATTTTACAATACACTCTCTGTGAACCATTTTATCTTCAAAAGTACATCTGAACCCAAACGTTTGGAGAACGATCATGTGTGTCTCTGTCAGCAAGATGAAGGATAATGCAAGACGTTTTCATAGCGTAGTGAATACAAATACACAGTGCACCCGGTAAGGCTTTACAACAACATTCACAACAATAAGCTTAAAAAAAAAATCCCTCATGTGAAAATTCATGCTATGCAAATAAAATTGTAACAGGTTATTTCTTTACCCGACTATCGTGAAATAGTTTTGAGGTCTCTGCGAACATTTCGAGCATGAATGACAGTTTGCAGCCTCAGATTGAAGTGAGTTTTATACGTGTGACTTATCGACAAAGAAGTCATGAAAACAAAAAACAAAAAATGTCTGTGTGGCGACGTGTCCTCACTTTGTATTTTTGTTGCTGTTGTCATTGGTGTCTACAGGTGCTCCACAGTATATTTGAATATGATGAAAAAAAAGGTATATAATAACCATTTACAACACATTTGTAGCTTGTGCATTTATATTTAGTGATTCACCATTTGCAAAAAAAAAAAAAAAGACAAAAAAAAAAAAGAGAGAGCTTAGCATCTGAGCCAATGTTATATAGGAATAATGAACCTTTTTGTCCCATCTGTTGGTTCCTACAACCGCAGCGGCACATGGCTTTTGTATGTAATGATCTATTTGACTGAACAATGTAACCGTCGTACTGTACATTACTCTCCGGTTGGAAAACGAAGCATGCTGTGTGCTCCTGGTCTGTGACAGACACTCGCAGACATTATGGTGCTGTCAGTCTTTCCCACACTGCTTTCTGTCTGTAGAGGTCATAGCCTGATTGACAGCTCCACGAGGCATCTGGGTCTGTTCCCTTTTATTTGGAAACACGGTTCTGTATTAGAACAATATCAAGCTGTCATATTTGATGTGCACTCTTTATGACTGGACTTGTTTAAGAGTCTCTGCTTTGGGCTCAGAGGCTCCGGTGGAAACAGGCTTCACTCTACAAGTCTCCGTATCTTTCTTTGTGTCTGTAGTCAATGGTCAAGTATATACAGTATATAAATATATATCTATTTTCTTTGTATGCATATATTCATTACTATTTTTGCACTGACCTACGGACAGATGGATTTATTTTTTTCCACAAAGGGTGCTATTATAACGGAGGCCTTCTCCCACACCTTTTTGCATGACTTGCTCAAGATTCCTCAACTGGTCTGTCATCTCTCCTACTCTTCTCCTACTACTCCTTGAACTGTTCCAATTGAAGCACTGTAATTTTGTAATCCCTACTTGTGAGCTTTGAAATAAACAAGGAGGCTTCAAGTTTGGTTTGGTGTCCTGGAGGTTTATTTTCTCCCTGTTTCACACGGAGGAACTTTCTTTGGCCACTGAGAGGAGTCGAAATATGTTCCTAAGATGTCTTACTTGGTAAAAAGATAAAATATACCCGATGTCTCATGTTGTATTGAAGTGTTTAAACCTGCAATAATCAATATTTCTACATTAAGAATGGGAAATTACCATAATGTGAAAGTGGAGCATTTAGCAGCTAAATAGCCTGATGATTCCCTCAAGAGTCGGTGGGGACTAAAACAGAACTAAAAGGAAAGTGAATGTTGGGCTGACATTAATAAAGTGCATAGAAACTCCATAACGGCAAATAAGCAATGTTTTGCTAAACATTCACCATAAAAGGTGATGATATATCAGCATTGTGTTAAAAACCTGTTTCAGCTGCCCCAGAGTGGCCAAAAAAAATCCCAAAATACAAGTTTAAATTCTAAGCAAGAGACGAATAATGCAACTAACAATTCTTTTTCATCATAATTTCCCAGAGCTGTAGATGACATTGCACAACAGTCCAAAACCCAAAGATATTCCAGTTATAATGATTTTAAGAGAAAAGCAGAAAGAACGCAGCATTTGAGCTGGATTATCAAACTGAAAAATTACTTAAATAATCACTTCGGAAGATACAGCGGTACAATACATTAAAAACATCCTGATGTTAAAAGAGAAACAACAGATTGAGGGATAAATATTTCATGTGACCAAGTCCCCGCAATACAACAGAAGCCATGGAAATAACAGAAGCTCAGAGACTCCCTGATTATTGGAATCAATAACAAACAAGACCCACAGTGTGTATTTTCAGAGACAGCCTCTCTCAGCCTCTTGACATGCGAGCATCCAGTGGAGTACACAGAGTTGTGAATTATCTGCGCTCCCCTCCATTGAACCATGTGTCACATAGCTGCAGGAGTTATGGGCCTATATTTACTCCAACTTCGCAGACGTCTCGCCTCATGGCCAGAGGCGAAGGGGTGTGGGGGCGCTGGCCCCAGGGTCAAGATCTCTCCGTAGGAACAGGCACGAAAATAGTTTTTTAGCGTTGTTTCTAATTACAAGCGATGAGTGACCCGCCTCATTAATCCTTTCCTATCAGCACTGAGCAGGCTGGCAGCACCAGAATAGCCCTGATCTTTGTGCTGCTGCACGCCGCTTTCCAGCGAGCCCTGCATGGACGTATTAGGCAACACGGGCCTGAGAGGAGGACCTACCTTGTCCACGCACACACACACACACACACACAAACAGGTGCACACCCACATACATACACACACACAGTCAGAGGCGGCGGTGAAATAAAGCAGAGAGGATCTCTGAGCCTGAGGACTGCTGCACTGGTTACCATCAAAGCTGCTCGCTCTGTCACAGGAAGATGCACTCGCACGTCATCCCACCAAGGCTTTACTAAATGAAACTACAGCAGCACTTTGCACTTACAACCCATGCATACAATAATGCTTCTCATATTTACTTTAAAACAAAATATGCCAAAGCAAGATACGGATTTAGGTTAACGAGAAGAAAATGGGAACATCGATAAAAGTATGGAAGTGCTCAATCAGTTTCTCTTACAGTTTAATCCAGTCAACTAACAACTAATGTCCATACTTAGGCCATGCTCACACATGACTTGTGTGATGAGGGTTTACAAGTCGACATTTCTTCACTTTAAAAGGCTATACCTTTTCTTCGTGCTCTGCCTAAGAGTATCTGTTTCTTCTCTGTGTCTAATAAAAGTGTATACCTGTGATGTAGATGAGTCAGGGTAAGTTGTGGACACCTAGGTTCTTTTACTTTTGGTTACCTTGACTTGGGCATAAAGGGATGGATGATTGTTTCAAAGATGTTGAAACATAAGCAAAGTGTTGGACCCCTTTTTGACAGCACGACTCTCACACACACACACACACACAGGATACGTGAAACGCACAACAGGAGATTTCAAGCAACACACAAAGTGATTCACGAGATTTGTTTTCACAGGGCAATCATGCAGGACACCATAGATATCACAGCTTATTGTAAGGGTTATGAAACCTTGACGTAATGTTATCGTGGTAATGTATATAATAGCAGTGTATTTACTCCAGCAGTTTTGGAATAAGATGTTCAACAATCATATTTATGTGTTATGTTTCAGTGTCCACATACATTTGGCCATATATTCCTGTGATGTCGATTAGTCAGGATGATCTGTATCCACAGTCCCACTCACTGTGATCTATTCTTGCTGTAAATGAGTTCTGGCCTGTGATTCTCTGCAGCCAGCTCGTGGTTGGCGAGTATGAATTATCCTCCTGCATCACAGAGAGAAAGAGAAAGAGCAGAGCAGTGAAGGATGGAGCGAGATAGATAGAAAGAGAGAGTAGAAGAGGTCACGGCCCATTTCACACAGCGCACCAAGGAGATTACAGGAGGTCTGTAGACATGACATGGGCGCCATGGTGATGTCTCTGCAAATAAGCAGATGCAAACACGCCACCTACAGAGCAGCTGAGGGCGGGGAAGGACAAGGAGCTCGGAGAGAGAGAGAGAGAGAGAGAGAGAGAGAGAGAGAGAGAGAGAGAGGACACAAATGAAGAAACATTTCATTCTGCAAGATCAAAATGATATCGCAGAGATGAGATAAAAACATCCGGAGCTGCTGAGTCCACAAGCTCGCAGAGTGAGCGCAGCGGCGGTTTGTTATCGCTCGTGGCACATGTTGGACTTTTAAAGTGTCATCTCTCGTTACATATTAGCCACACACTGACCACGGCGCAAGAGACAGGCCAGGGCTCAGTGTGGTGACGCCAAGACGTATATGTCACATATGTCTGCGTGGAGCTGCAGAGGTCCTCCACTAGAGAGTCCCTTTATCAGATCACACCGTGTCATTGTCATTAATGTATGTACTCACGGTACTGTAATAGCTCTGATGAATATCAGCTTACCCATAGTGCATAGGCGGATCATACAATTACACATACAAAAATCCAATTACACTCCAAATACATTCAGATATGACTAAGATCATGTGACCTCCGAGTTCATGATGAGGGATATTTATATCAGCCTAATGACCAAATGGGCTTCTGTCATGCCTTTCTTTTTCTGTCTTGCTCATGTTTAGAAAAGCACAGGTGGAATTAATAACATGTACAATGACTCAGCTCCTCTAAGTGGAATGCAGCCATCATTAATGTATTTAAATACCCCTGTGACTTTCCTGCTATGCCATGTGTTAATTATTTATTTTATTTAGAGTTTACAATTACAGGAACAGTGCACATTAACAGACATTTCTATAGATGTGCCAGTTTAGCCATTTTGGCTAATTTCCCACTGCAGTCCCTGGGCACGTGTAATGGCAGCTACAAAACACATGAAATACATAAAAAACAGGAGGCAGCAATACAGTACATATATCAAAACACATTTTAAAAAACACATGAGATATTTTAAAACAAGGACAATAACACATAAAACAAAGCATGCTTAAGGTTATTTATAGAGTATGGTCACATATGGTCTTCTGACAATGATTTAAAATAAATCTTAATGATTATATTTTGTCTGCTGTGGTTAAACAAAAGAGTCCAGACTCAAGGTTGAATGCAGCTTTCAGTCGTATCACATGGGCTTCAAAAGCAGAAGGCGCTGTAGGGTTTGCAAACTCTATCTGCTGATAAGAACCATGGAATACAGGAGAAAGCTCTGCACAAAGCATGCTAGTGAGTAAGGGTTGTTTTTGTCTAACATCTACAGCGGTTGTCGAAATGAAGCCTGTTTAATGGAATGTAATCTCATAAGAGAAAGGTCTAACGGCCAGAAGTAAAAATCTGGTCAGAAAATAACGAATCCTTGATTTATGTATCTTAAAAGTTGTCAATTTTAAATATATTGAGTCAAAAAAATGACTGCAATCAGCCGATGACATATCCCCTAAGTTTGTAGCTGTATGGAGAATATTAACTTAGTGTCCTCAATGGTATCTTCAGACCCGTTTTGAAATATTGATACTGCACATCAAGCATTGACAATATCACGGTTGCTGCTTCACAAAGGAGACCGAAAATTTGAAGACACACCAGTGAATTTGGGTGATGTGTTCAGCCGAGCGGTCTCTAATTTCCCCAGTGCTACTCGTCTCTTTCTTCTGCTCCAGATAAGTTCTTTTAATTGCTGGTCTCGTCTTTGTCCCCACAAATCACACACGTGAAGAACAACGGCTCAGGCGGGTCGCACCACCAGCCTGAGGGGGGAATAGTTGAAACATTTTGAGTTGCGTCATTTCACCGGATTGCAAAATAATACATTGACATTAAAACAGACAATATTTGAAGAAAATTGTCACATAAACATCTGTATTATCCAACCATGGACTTCCTGGTCTATATTTATGCTTCAGTTACTATTTTAATATTTCAAAACAGGATTTTGAAGCTATTTTTGCAAGATTATGGCACAAATGTATGTATTTCTTTACACTAAAACATATACCTAGAAAGACAATTGTTTATCCTTTTCGTTTATAGTAAATTCACGCTCCTAATTTCACTTTTCTCTCCTTTAGAGTCCCCCAGGCAACTTCTCATGAGTCACTGCCCATCTAAACTAACCCAGTGGAAGTTTGAACCTTCACTGTCTGGAGGTATCAAGAACGCTGTCTGGTCCTGCTCGGGCCACCCTCCTCTCTCCTTACCCCCAAAGAGAGAAAACAGCCCCCCCCTACTTCCTCCTCATCTTTCCATCTACAGTACTTTTCACCCTGGGAAACCCCCCGCCACAGTCTTCATGACACATTCAACCCACCTATTATATTACACTGTGGGGGAGGGGGCATGGCAAACCCAAACAATAATTTAGACCCCATTTTACTGGAGCACGGATCTGTTAAGTGCTCACACAAGTAGTCAAACCCACACACTGAATGTGAGACTCCTCACATCCTACCTCAAAATTCAACATTATAACACAAAATGCTTTAACAGTCAGG